AATTCAGTTTAGTAAATTGAGCTCGTGAAACCATCGTTTCATGCTTTAAGTAGACTCAGATCATGTAGATTTCACGACCTACTTTAGGCAGTTCCAGCTAGGTTCATAAAACGCATTTGCTTATAGTGAATTACCGCAAATTCTGGTTAATCAGTAATAGCATGGGATATTATTGTTAATACATCCCTGTTTAATATTAATTCAACTGCTGAAAAAAACTTGTTTTAAGGGCGGATTTTGTTGGCTCTCCAGTCTGAGTTTTTAAAACGCATAATTCTTCCTGTTGACCGCCTACTAGGAGAATAATGAGACACACCCTTGCCTCAAATTTTTATCCCCCATGTCAAGCACTACTTTTCATTTCTATCTCTAAATATTCCCCAATTAGCATCCAACCTGTCCAAATCTGGGCGGGAAATAATCCAAAACAGATTAAGTTCTCCTGCTTGTTGGTTATTCATGTATAAAAAGGGTATTTTGTCATTCTTGATACTTTTCATGACCTGAGTAGTCACGAGCCAGTGTTGAGAATATTTTCCGTTGATTACTTGATTTTTTATGCTACTTGGGGTGGATGCAGGAGGCAAGCCCATCTGCTACTGCTTTTCCGCCTGAACCAAACACTCATTTGCAAAGATGATTTGTTGCACTTCCTTTTCATTCTAAGCATTGCCTAATCAGTAAGCGAAACATAAATTCTCCCGACCCGTTACTTAGTAGTAGAGAGTTGAAAAGCGTATAAATCTAGTTGTTGATTCTTTCATGCCAAAAACCCATAGTAAATTCTTTTTATTGAGATTTGCTCAAAATCCTTTTGCTACTCTTAGTAGTCCAAAGTTTTTCAGCTTTGAATAATCGCTGCTTCTTTGTCTTGTTAGGCTGCCATTTCATCCCCTGAGTAATCTCTGATCGCTTTCAGCAATATCATTCATTTCGTCGAAAGGATGCATTTTTTCCTGATCTAGAAATGCATGATTCTCGGTGAAACTACCAGTCGGGGTAACTGGAATGCTCATTTGCTTACTGTTTTGGGTAGCCCTGAAATGGTATTTGAAACACGAGTCCCACTCTCCACTAACTAAAAATTGAACATCCAGTGCGCTCCCCCGTCCCTTGTTGTTGATTCTTCTGTACTAGTGGCTCAACCTTGGCGTTTTATCCACTTAGCGACATTTCTGATGTGCAAATGACGAAATGCCAGCGTCGTTTTATAGCTGCCCGGTAAACAAAACGTCCGGTTTGTTCAGATTTTCAAATTTTCGCGTGATAAGCTAATTCACTGTAGATAATTAGCAAATAATTTCACTGGGATGGAAGAGAGCAAGTCAGGTGTGCAAATTTACTGCCATCGCATAAGGCAAAATCTCACTTGTAGGGCCAGTTTGTGTACACTCCATTTCCCGCCTTGATCAGTCTCAAATAGGTGCCTGAAACGCTCGAATTTCGAATGACTTGGCATTACTCATTTTCGCAGCTCTAGCCTCGATCTAGTTTATGGAGCCATAGATATTTTCAATTAAGATTGAACATATGTTGCTTGTCCTTGCTTCCGATTATCTGGTTTTAAGTAGCTTATTTAGCTACTGAAACCTTAGGAATTTTAAGTTGCTCTACTGGCTCTAATAAAACTTGATAATCACCTATCTCTGCTTGCTGTATGTCCAACAATTGCTGATGATATTTGACCAAACTTGTGTCCACATCATACACTGCTAGTTAGCTCCGTAAAAAGATTTGAAGGCCCTTGTCGGTTAATTATTCGATCGTGTTAAGTATTTGTGATTTCGTTAGAGCTTCTTTTTAGTCTGCGTAGTTTCACACTGATATTTGAAACACACCCTTGCATCAAAACTCTATCAGTCTTTATGGTTGCAATCCTCACTCACCTCTAACTGTCAATGAGAATACCGTTCCTAGTGGTCGTGTAAAATGTGATAACTTACTGTGAATCGCCGCCAGCCCTCTTTACTGCGGGATAATACGGAATTGAGTCGCTCAATAGCCCACGTTCACTGCTAATTCCTCTGAGTAGAACTGTTAACTGTAAACCAGCTTGTGCTGATTTCATTGTCTGCTTAGAATATTTTGGATTCAGCAATGGAATAATTAGGATTTTCATTGAATTATTTTTTTTATGTATCCTTGAAGCAGTCCATGGTATTATGACATTGAGGAAGAAAGGAAGGCGATGTGATGACATGCTCTTTGACGAAATGTGCTCGGTGCTAGGCCTCATCGTCGACGTGTAAACAAACCGACAGCTCGCTTTTTGTGAATGCTCCGCTTTCAAATAGCAGCCTGACGGGTTGGTCTAAATCAGTCGTGCGAAATTCCATGCCATCTGAAGGAGGCTGTCAACATTACTAGTTGCTATAATCTTTTCACATCAAATGTCTTTGCCCCTAAAAGAGGTAAGTAGTGACATGCAGACTGCTACGGCAGCTTCAGTTCCTTTTGGATTATCGGCAACCTCCAGCAGAACCGAAAAATGCAAAAAATCGCCGACGCATACGGTTTAAATTGGCATTCCTAGACTTTTGGTTCTTATGAATGCATAATGCGGCAAGGGTTTGCTGCATTGTATCGCGTATAGAATTAACTGCTGTGGGAACGCTACGAAGACACTCATCTGGGAAGTGGTGGTATTGAGGTCAGTGGTGGCCCTCCAGTAATTAAATCTCACTTAAGATGTTCATTTTATTGCTCCTCCAAGTGTTGCTGGATTTCAGGACCACCACAACCGCACGCATCCGGTACTAGGAACCCCACTTTCATTTTCTGCTAATAAAGTAAATGAAAAATAAGCAAATTTTCAGCGGATTGATGTCGATTCGGGTTGATTACTTTGAAATACAAATCTCATAGCTCAGTGTGTTCTCTTCCAATGGCGCGCATATGTGACGCCCGATTTTCATATCAAAGCCGCACGTCACCCATGTGGAACGTGTTATCAGTTCATGATAAGACGGTGCTTATACCAAGTCATATGTCCCAAACAGAATATAGTTGCGTTTATATTAATTATGCCGCTGCAGAGTATTTTTTACCTGAGCATAATTTTACTGGTGGAAGTATCAAGCCGAAAAAGTGGACACATTTGATTCAGCCTTTTTTAAAAAAAATGGTGCCATTTTCGAAAACTGAAATCGTCTAAAAACCTCTAGGATTTGACATTTGCCAACGCTCTGTCAACCCTCGAGCACGCTAATTTGTCAAGTCTTGGCGATAATGCAGTGCATTGCCGTTTTTTGTTTTTTTTTCTTAAAAAATGAGCATTCATTCGAATTTATTTTGGTCTGCTGTGACCATTCGGACATCTGTTAGTGTGTGTGAAAACGCAGCTTAGCATGCTGGCAACTTGCGGACGCTACTTTACCCTTGGAATATTCAAGCTTCCAGGCTTTAGATGAATTTGATTTATCCAAACTTTTTAACTCGATCGAATTCAATTTCACGCAACATTAATGGGTTTCTTGACTTATATTACTCCCTGTTTATTTCGTTTGCTGTCATAACTACAAATTAAAAGGAGACAGCTTTGTATCGTTTTGGGGGGTCTAGTTGACTTACTGACTTTACCTCCTATTCTCTAGCCTTGCTATTCACGGTAGTTGCCTACTTTAAATGTAGGAAAAGAAGGTGTTTATGACTTCCTTTTTATGCAAAACTGGCATTTTTGCTGGCCCATTGGTATCACGGTAGGTTGCCACTTTTCAACATCCACTGATGCAGTTTTTCTCACGACCTTACACCTCAAGTGTAGCATGCTTAAAAATCAGTTCTGAAGTTTTGTTTTGGAATTATTTTAAAGGTGTATCGCCAGTTTTTCACTCTCTGAGCGCCACCGCCCAAATTTACTGTCCGCGTGGAACTAGTAGTGCAGCCAACTTGTCATTTGAGAAACCAAGGTGTCGGATACTGATCGACAGTAGCTACTTCAGTGGCCGCACTACTTGGTGGCATACGATGAAGAGAATAGTCAAATTTTTAATATTTAATGGCCTAGCATTCTCTCTTGATTAATCATGAGGTTCTTGCTCCCTCCCAGGTAACATTACTATCAACCCTTTCTGTTTTCTAACCGTTTTTATCCCATCGAACACTTGATCTGGAAGCATCGATTAATGTCTGCTTAACTTTTGCCACTTTGATGGTATTCCACTTTACCCGAATTTCGAGTTGACAAATAATTCTATTAAAGCCATACACTATTTTTCATTTTAACAACGATTTTAACTGCCCTCAATGTGGGCCTTCGGATTTTTATAGCTTCTTTAAGAGAGAAGTATTCTGAAAGAACCAGTAATCTGAGCGTTACTGTATTTGTACGTTGTCATTTTGGTAGCAAAATTAACTTGAAATCGTCAATTGTTAAATAATCCAATCCACAAAATTTAACTACATGGTATTGAAAAAGACAATTTATCAGATTCGTCATTGGATTGCTCTTTTTGTTCTGAGGCTGAAAATGGAAGGAATACCGTCATATTGTTTTAGTTTTTGATGCTGTTTCTCTCCACTTCTGGATGCCTTATTTAATAAATTTACTTATTTCCCACTGCTTAAATATTTGCCTAGCATTCATTTCTGTCGACCTTGTTCCCCATTTCGACGACAAATTCTATTCTGTAAAGTTCACCTCCGGTTTGTTTTT